GACAGGGCATCATCACAATATGGTAAGGGGCGTAACATTTCCGTCACACGCTTGAGGTATTCGGCCAATCACAACGCACTGGATAGCTGGCCAATCAGAGCACACCTCACTTTTTCAGACCGATGAGCTTTGTAAAAATCGACGCGTTTCAGAAAGGCGAAACAATAATGTACAGCATGTGGAAAATAATGTGTTTTTTTAACCTTAAACCACAAACACATTGCATTACACCAAATACACCAAATAATGTTATTTTTAACAACATCATATGACCCCTTTAAGAACCAATAACTCACCTGCACAAAATACTGATACGTAAACGACATAGCACAGAAATCTTAAAACTGAAAAGTGGCTCTCTGTCGGATAACACTCCAATCATTTATGACTATTATCTCTGCATATTGATTATCACATGTCACTTCCATTTATTTGAGAAATAATTTGCACTCTAAAATACTCATTCAGATACTAATCCAGACTTTATTGCATTGTAAGATACAAATACTAATGTTCAGATTTCTACAACGGGCCTTGTCCCTATATCTGACCAAAGAACATAGTCCACATTTGCTGAAGGTAACAGGAGGTACACATTTGTTGAACAAACATTTATGAATATAGTGCATTTTGAATCAATATAGGGATACAATTGTCTAGAAATATGAAAAAAATAACCATTTGTAATCATTAAACCTATTTATTTAAAAAATACTGTGTGGAAAGTGCACTTTTTAAAACTGATTTGTAACAAAATAGTTAGTTACAAATCAATCATTTATTTATTTGGAAAATTATACCTGGATTTTTAATTTTTTTTATTTATGAAGCCATTATAATCTTTCTATTCTGATGTATACTAATATGAAAATGAATAGAAGACCACCACCACAAGAGAGTAAATTAATCTTTTTTATTGAGACCATTTTACTGAGAAATGACTGAGATATGTCTGGATGAGAGTCCACATATGCAAAATCTCTGTTAAAAAGACACTGAATCACTGGAGAGCAAGAGAACCCATGCTGTAATACTGACACTCAATTCACATAGAAGTCAGGTCAGGTGCGTCGCCACCATCTCAATAAAAATATGAAAATGTTTTTTCAACTTTTTTTGTGCATGGTTTGCTTCTTTAACAATATAAAAACATATAATACTGATTGCAAAACGTTGATTTAATTTACAAAACAAATAACTGTAATAACAATTACCATCCATAATAATAATAATAACAATAACAATAATAATATTAAAAAAAAAGAAAAACAAAAAACAAAAGAAATAAACCAGTCAAAGCCGCATCATCTTCACTAACACAAACAGCGAGCCTTTTTGTCTATTTGTTGAAATACCATTTTGGTATAATCTCTTCTTCTTCTTTTTTTTTTTTGTCTGACATGCCTTGCGCAAGTCTAAGATCAGTCTGCATATATAAACGGTCCTTTACAGTGTTGGTGGAAGCATAAGGATTATATGCTCTCTGCACGGGAAAATAAAACAGTAGGCAGTTTGAGGCTTCTGGGAATGTGCACTTCCTCACCCAGACTGTCCTTTTCACTGTTTTCAAGAGTCATAAATACTCAAAATACTCCTTTATCAAGAGAAGCCAGTCACTGAGGGACATAATCTCAACATTTAGACGAAGGGAAGAACCGTCCCGGCGACAGGAACTTGTATCCATTCCCCGAAGGCAGTCGGATGGGATGCGACCCTGGACTGCTGCCAGTGGACGCCGTCGGAGAAGGCGCGACTCTCTTGGGATCGATCTTGCGATGGCCGTTGGGTGGATTTCTGTGCTCGAGCGCCACATCCTGGCCGGGCGTATCCTGTCCCGTCACGCCGTGTCGGGGCGAGAGGTTCAGAAGGCCCAGGACATCTCGTTTGGCGGTGCTCAGTTTCCCGCCGCGGAGTGCCCGCATTGGTCCCGAGTGCTGCTGTTGGGTGGCGCTGGCCCAGAAAGTCTTGAGATTGTGGATCGCTTGGACTTTTTCGTCTATAGCGGCCAATTTGAGTCGGTCGATATCCGGAGCGTCCGCCGGACTGGAGCGCGTCGAGCCCGTTGAGGAGTAGGACAATGCCGGAGAGGGTGCGCTGCCGGCCGGAGACTGGTGGCCCGAGCTGGGCGAGACGTTGCTGGGCGAGTGGGAGATGTGGCCGCTGTAAGGCGAGCTGGGATACTTGAGTTTAAACTGGGCATGACTGTCAGAAGTTGGCGACGGTTGGCTGCCTTCCTTTAGGGACGTCTCGGACGTAGCGGGGCTGTTGTATCCCGAGCTGACCTTCTGTAGGGACGACGTACGGGAGGGCGGTTTGGGGCGTGTTGGGAGTGGAGACGACTGCGCCTTGATGCTCGCCCGGCTACTAGGGCGACTGAACGCGCTCGTCTCCGAGGAACGGAAAGCAGAACCTCCGGTTGGGGTCGGGGGGCCTCCGCCGCCCATCCCGTCGCCCAACGGGACGCTCCCAGTGCTTCTCTGCAAAGTCTCGACGGCCCGCATGTGGCTTTGCGTTTCTTCCAGGATCTTCTGCGCCAGTTCTTGTGGGTCCAGAGCGGCTCCGGGCGTACGCTCCTCTTGGGACTTCACAGTGCTGTCTGTCTCTGTGCTGGATTGATCGGATTCGCCCGTGTCGGAGCTGCTCACCTTCCCGACCTTCTGGAAGGGCGAGTTGGGACTGGGAACCAGGGTGGCTTTGACCGGAGACGTCGGGGTGCTGACGCTTCCCCTAGAGGACACAGACACCGCGTAACCCCTGCCGGTCCCGCCGCGTGCAGCGCCCCGATGGTTCCTGTGATTTGCAGGACGAGGGAGCGTGTCGCATTGGCTACCCAACGGCTCGCTGCTGATTATACTGTATCCTTCATACTCTTCATCATCGTGCCCTCCTACGGCTCCATGCGGGGACGAGCGGCTGCGGGGCACCGCCGTGTGCCGGTGGGACGCGAACAGCCCGGCTCCGCCCCGATGCCGCTCTAGCTCCTGCTGCCGCGAGCGCTGGCTGATGAAGTCGGACGCGCCTTCGGGACGGGATAGGAAGCTCATGGAAGAGGCGATGGAGCTCAGGCTATAGACGGAGATGGCGTCAGAGGCAAGGCTGTCGGGACATGGAGGGGAGAAGGGAGGGTTGGGATAGCCCATAGGCAGCTGGTGGGACACAGACTGTGCTGAAGCCAGAGACTCCAGAGACGATGAACTGTCCAGACTCAGGCGCTTCGGCAGCTCAGTAGAGTCTGAGGAAAACATTACAGTGCAATTATTACAAAGTCAGATGTTATATATAACATGTTATATATTTAAAGGAGTATAGATATTTTTTTATATAATTTTTCCCCAGTAAAAATAGTAATAGTGATTATTAATGGCATGTAATTAATTACATTATTATTATATATTAATTAATTTAATGATTATTATTTAATTTAATAATAAAATTTTTTTTAGGATATTGAAGTTTTTTTTATAGATATTGAAGTTTTATTGGTGGAAAAATAGCAATAATGATTTTTTAAATACTCAATTTTTTTTTGCAAAATAAATAACTATTTTTAAAAATAGTTTTAAAAGTTTTTTTTTTTTTTTTACCTATATATTAGTGGTAAATAGAGTACCGTTAATAAAGTTGTGCATATTTATGTAATTATTCTAATGTTGTCTAAACGAAAATTGACTAACATATGTTTTGTGAAATGATTACAACACACTGCATTTTTTGAAAAATATTGTGATTTTTTATCAGTATTGTAATGACGTATGATGGAAATATAGAATATATATTTTTCACCCAGTTTTTTTTAACCCTGTTTTAGCCATAGTCATTGTCTTTTGAAAAAAAAAAGCCTTTACAAGTATAATGTCAAATGTATTCATTTTAGTCTATTCCCTGAAAATAACAATTTTAAAAATAACAGATGAATTTTATTGCATATGCACTGTTACTATTATTTTTTAAATCTATTTTATGTAAATAACTTTAAATTACCAGTGTGTAAGATATGCTATATAAATAAACTTGCCTTGTCTACTGAAAAAAAATTTCAGTGAGTACACTGAAATATTAGCTACTATTGAAGCTAATACTATTGAAACAGCCCTTTTCTTGTCTTTAGTATTGATGACAAAATAAAAAAAAACTTTAAATGAATGAATCAGTTTTGTTGTTGGGATCAACAGTGTGAGGGTGAAGTGATGCTCACCAAACAGTGCCAGCAGCGACTGCAGGGCAAAGTGCATGGTGCGACGGTTGGCCTGTTTGCCCGTCTTCAACACCACCTCCTCCTGACCGACCTCACACAGGTCAAACCCTGAGAGAAAGAGAAAGACTGAGTCCTCAGCATGGACTACAGCATCTCGATCAGTACTCATGTGCTGAAGCTGCCCTTACCCAGAGCGGCCAGGAACTCATGGCAGCCAGGAAGCCTCCAGAGCTGCACGCTGATGGACACCTGGATGGGCGCGAGAGAGAAATCCTGCTCCTTCTCTCCAGACTGAAGCTGCACCAAAACCTGATGGAGCTGCGGAAAAATGAGAAAGATTTTAATGATGTCAAATATACAAAAGGCTTATTTCATTATTACTTACAATAAAACAGCACAGCCAAATATCATTGGCAAGTTAATTTATGGTAGTGTGTTAGCGGAGAGGTAGTTGAAAGCAGATATTTAAGCACTTACCATTCCCACTACATTTTTAACAGCCTTTAATGGTAAGTTTAGGAAAAGAGAAGGAAAGAGGATTGTTAAAAGCAAACACGAGGATCTCAATAATACAGCAGGCACTCATCACAGCAGTGTAGTTATGCACAGATCAGATGCATGAGCACCAGTAGTTGGCTTAATGAAAAGTTTGATACATGCTGTGACATCTTACCCGGTTGATCAGCTGTTCTCCGGTTTCTGATGCTGTGATCAGTTTACACAAAGCCTGCAGAGCAGGAGGAGGCAAACCTGCGAACATGAAAGACAAATAACTCTTTAAACCTTTGTGCTGTGCTGAAAACCCTTTACCTAATTTGGTGATCCTGGACAAAAATGTTCGGCCTTGTAAATCTTTCTTTATGCAATATTATCACCAAATCTCTTTGTCAACTTGTTTTCAATTAGCACAGGTTTTGTATTGGTTTTGGAACTGATTCCTCAACTGAGTCCTCATTGATCTGAGCTTATGCACGTTTTTCATTTCAGTGAAAAATAAATCATTATTGATTGATCATTTTGGCAATGTTCACTCATAAACTGAGATGCATAAGCTCAGAATAACAGGGCTTACAATCAATCAGTTACAAAACAAAATGCAAAACCTGTGCTAATTGAAATAAAGCAAGTTGATATAAAGATTGAATCCTATGTTTGGTAATAATACAGCATAACAAAACATTTATAAGGAATTTTTTGTAGGTCAGTCATTTTTGACCAGAAACACCACAAGCGTAAAAAGGTGTTAAAAAAAAGTACAAAAATGATTAAAACATATGTTTTTTTATTTTGGGGTTTGTTCGTTTTGATTTTATTTTGGGAAGTTGTAATGCCCTGTGTGAGCAAAGTCAGTTAAGACGATAACATTAACTAGCAATTTTTTGGGGGGAAAATCCTTGAAAATGACCAGTCTCTTGAAAAATTTCCAATGACCAATAAGTGAGAATTTACACATTTTACTTTTGCTACTCTCACTTGTTTGATCACAATTTTTTGCCATTTTTGTGTGCAACATGCATCTGTCCAAGAACGCTCTGTGGAGCGCAACTCTTGTCTTGTCTTGTTTAATAGTAAATGAGTGTGGCAGCGTGTCGTACCCAGCAGTGACTGTAGGGTGGTGCTGCATTGCTGCAGTCGGTCTCCGGGGTCAGTGGTGGGGAAGAAGACCGCCGCGGGGAGGCCCGTTCCAGCCGAGTCCAGCCTGAATCCCACCGCGGTCAGCAGAGCCTGCCAGCCGGGCACGCCGCCCACCTTATTCTCCACACTCTGCTGAGACGTGTACATGGAGTTCCTCTGGCCGTTCTGAATGCGCTGGAGAGATTTCTCCACCTGGGGGAGCCACAGAAACACAGATGAATGGTTTGTACAAAACCAGACAAAAAGGTCGGATACTCCTACGCATTGTCTGTTACTATTATTTCCACATTTTCAACTGAAAATGAAACCTATGGGGGAAAAAAAACTCAAAATGAAAAACTTAAAAGTACGAGAAATAAAAGTATGAGAAATAAATTAGTGAACAAATATTTTATATAAAATTACTGAATATAAAATGTCAGATCAAAATAATACTTAAAATAAAAACTAAATTACTCATCATATAAAAATGCTATAAATATAAAAAAACCTCTATATTATATATATACTGTATGTATGCGTGTGTGTATATGTATATGTATATATATGTATATAAATATAGATATATATATATAGATATATAAAATTGCATATATATTTACATTTAATATTGTAAAATATTTTATGCTAAATTTTATACTGTAACAGTTATTGTCACGGAAACACCTGCCTCACCAGCCGAATCAGCCTCCTACACCCGCTCACAATCACTTAATATCATTACACTTTATTTGCTCTGTTTTATTTTGTGAAACCTAACTACGTATATGGAATAACCGCTTCGCGTCGTGCCTAACAACACCCCTTAGCTGTTAGAAATTCACTGTAAACCACGGCTTCTTGGGGCTTATTGCTTTAACACACCACATACACACATATGATTACATTTTATATTTATAGCATATTCTTTATATACTATAGTAGACTACTATATGCACATGCATAACATATATTCTTAGTAAATGTAAATGAGGCCAGTGATCCTGTGTTTCTCACCAGGTGTAGCAGAACCCTCAGGGCATCTCTAGCTTTGTCTGGATACTGCAGGATCTCAGCCAGAGCCTGACCAATCAGAGACGACGGGCTGTTCAGTTTCACGTCACTGCCAATCAGCATGAAGCCTGTGGAGAAGACATATTCAAATCATGAGGAGAACAGCAAACAAGCCACTATATACTCAACACTGCCTACTATTATTTTAAAGTGACGTGCGACAGTATGCAGTAGCAGTGTGCTACAGGACATCACTGTATTTGTTTAATATACAGTATTCACCACAGTATGATCTGCTTATATACTGCACACGTTTCAATGCCGCTGCGATCATACCTGCCCAGTTGGAGGGGTGTGAGAACTGTTTGCTGCTCTGGACGGTCTTCATGGCGTCTGCGAGGGCCGCGCTGGCTTTGGTGCCGTTGAGCAGAGCGCTGTAGAACGCGTGGACGAACATCTTAGAGGCTGCGACGGGAACCGGCCACAGAGACACCAGCACACACTGAGCTCCAGCCGCCAGGAAAGCCCTGGTCAAACCCACCACACCGTCCGCCGTTACTTTACTGTCCGACTCCTGGTACGAGCTGCAGGTCACGAAAACACACTCGATCAGCCTCATGGAGCAGTAATTCACTGGAATACAGACCCTATTATCTTCAATAGACTGTTAAACTACTGTGGATGTGGCCGCAGTCGTAGTACGGCCTGTTAAACAGAAGTGATGTATGAAAACACTGATGCGCAGATGAGGGTGGGCAGTATGAACGAAAGCGTATATAACAGTATGAGTTATAATATATCTGGATAGCATTAAACACACACAGAAATAATATACATGCTACAGTATATATATACAATTATATAATTGTATACTTTATAGCGTATTTTTATATAGTTATTTAAGCTAATATATGTATATTGTATATAAAAATAGAATTATTAAAAGCATATAAAATTTTGTTTAACAAAACAAAACAATTACAATAATGAAAATAATAGTAATATATACATACATATATATATATATATATATATATATATACATATATAAACACACACACACACACACACACATATATATATAAATTGACTTAATGAATTACATGAATTCATTTATTAAAAAGTTCATTCATTTATTACATATTAAAAATAAGCCTATATGAAATAAAAATAAATTTAATATAAATAATAAAATAAAATAAAATAAAATAAAAT